TGGGTCCCCCAGCCACATCTCCCACCACTACCTCGCGGTTGGGCGCAAGTGCGGCCAGCACCTCCTTGAATTGTTCGGTCGTGATCCCAACCCTCTGAATGAGGGCCTCAGCCTCCCCGGTGGTGATGGGGGGTGCCGACCTCCGGTGGCGCTGTTCTCCCCCTGTTGGGGAACTCCGGTACCTACGTTGGCGTTGCTACGTGTTTGCACCATCGTCGTTGTGGAGGATTTCTTCCGAGTATGATTCTCGAACTCTCAATGAGAGCACCAATTTGATGGACAATAAATCCACCAAATGATCCGATTTACAGAGCGGATCGCAAGAACAAAATTAAGAACAAGAATTCGAGAATTGGATGTGTATTACTAGCTTGATTCAGCCTGAGTTCTCCCCTTTCGGGTCCCTTCTATTTATACACGAGCTCTCAACAATTAAGGTGAAGCGTAACCGATGGAGTTTAGCCCGTCCAAGGGCGCGATCCCCTTTTTTCGGCTCCGTAACGGCCAATCAGCTCCGTCTCCTTCTCCGGACTGACTCTGCCAGCTGCGCTTGGCCTGAGGTTAACTAGGCCCAGCTCCTTGGGCCGGCCCAGCTTGAGTATTCCACAGGTGCTTGACCCGAACCTGTTTAAATGGTTCATTTGGGCCGTCCTCTGGATATCGGCCCATCAGTTCCATTTGGATTTTCTTGTTATTTTGCCTGAGCAATAATAATAGATCTATGAACAATAACCAAACAGGAATTGTGAAGATATCGCCATGTCATTCCTTGTGGCTAATGAAACAAATGCTCCTCCTATATGGGTAGAAGGTTATTATTATTATTATTATTATTATTACTCCCTCCGCCCAAAATTTAAGAAAAGTGAAAATGTATAGTTGAAAGTGATACAGAGGAGAGAGAAATATTGCGAGTCATTCAAAGTTTTTCATAAGAAAAAGAGGAGCTTTTTTTGGACCGTTTCAAAAAAGAAATAAAGAATCTTTTTTTAGACGGATGGATTATTATTATTCATTTATTTTTGTTGATGACGTGTAGGTAAAATACTTGAAATTGGGTCAGGTGGAATTAGTAGCTTGGGGGGTCACACTGAAAAAAGGACTCAATGTATGAATATGTTGGTTGATGAGTACGGGAAAATGCCGTTGGTCACCACCTCCGTCAAGGCCGTCGACAGCCGCCGCATCTGGTTTTGGTGATATGATCCAAAACCGCCACGAATATCTTAATTAGTTTGAGGACTTAAATATTTCTACCTTTTTTTATTGACTCACAATACAATATGTACTTAGATACGGAGTAATTGTTTTATATTTTACATGTTCAATGTTAGTGCGGTTAATATTACTATTTCAAGTATGAGTAGGATTCCGTTAACACTAGCCAACGGTACCACTAGCAACGCACTGCGTTTTTAGAACACCTCGCGCATTTCGTTTGCAAAATTGATAGTTCCTATCTCTCTTAACCCACCACCCAAAATTTGCAAAAGGAGCACTGAAGGTTCTGCAAAAACATAGTGGCACCGTTAGTGCACCATTGGCCTGTGTCAACGGAATCATGCCCTCCCGCTAGTGCACCGCTCAAATTAAACTTCAATTCTCCTCCCGTGTGAATGGTACAAAGTCAACTTTCTAAAATTTAGAGGATAGTTCATTTAGGTTCGAGCTTTAGCGATAGCGGAAGCATTGTCTCTTTGTACATTTTTAGGTTCATGTATGTGTGGCCCGAAGGGTGTGCAAAGTGGCCAACCGCACATGGTCCATAAAATTTTAGGACCCCATATTTTTAAATTCATCATTAATTTTGAAGTATATAAGTATTTTAAAATATTAAAACAGAGCCCAAAATGTAAATTTCGGATCAATCCAATTTTTTTTTATTTTACAAGGTCGGCCCTGATTAAGTTAAAACAAAAATATAAACATATATTGAATTGTAATCAAATCAATCACATACAAAAACATCAACAATTAGAAAACATCAACTTTTATATAAGTAAATTTCTTATAGGAGTAATATTACTTTTATCTCAAGTTTTGCAATGTGCAAGGTAGCCGTTTGAATGATGGTAAATTAGTTATCCTCCATCTTAAAAAAAGTTTTACGTTTGACTTGACATAAAAAAATATGTGGTTGAAAGTGATGCAGAAGAAAGAAATGAACTAATGATATGTTTGAGAACATGGATTTGGATTTCAAATCCGGATTTGGCTCAAATTCCATTTTTGGGAAACTTAAAAATTTTGAATTTGGATTTGAGGCAAATTCTTCTCATTCATAACAATACTTAAATTGAAATTCATGCACCTTCCCTTGTCATTTGAAATTCAATATTTCAAATTTTGGAATTGAAATGCATAAATTGAAATGAAATACTAGTTGTCAAACACTACCTAATGTTATTTATGACATTTTAAGTATAGTTAGGGCGTTCTTCGGAAAAACAATGGTGATTCCTTTGACATTGAATTGGCACCAAAAGCCATATTATGACATCAGTTCATTTTGGTCACTTAGGTCATGTTTTATTCAATTTATTCTTATTATTTACTCCGTATTATATTTTCTTCTTGGGATCAGATCGGATTTGATCAGATCAGACTAAATCAGATCAGATCAGAAATAGTTTTATACTCCCTCCGTCCCGCAAAAAAGTTCTCATTTCTTTTTTCATCTGTCCTAAAAAATACTGTACTTCTCTTTTCCTTTTAAAAAGTCACTTTTACCCCTACTCATTCTTAACCTACCTATCACATCACACTTTTTCTCTATTAATCTATCCATCTCATCCTATTTTATCCATCACATCAAAGGGCATTTTTGGATAGTCAACACCAAAATACACTTTCCTTAATCCTCAAAAAGTCAAAATGAGAATTTTTTTAAGGGACGGAGGGTGTATATAATTACATTCTGATCAGACCAAATCAGATCAGATCAGGACTCATTTCAACTAGATCAATTTCTACTAGATGAGAACTATTGAGAAGAGAACATGGTCTTAGAGTACAAAGTTGGAAGTGCCAAATTTAAGAATACAAAATTACAAATGACATAGGCTAGTAAGGTTGGGGGTTAACGGTGGTGCCCACAAAATGTTTTTAAGCCATTTTTAGAATATGATATAAAAAGAATAAATTTCATATCAAACAAATTTAAAATAAGTAAATTGAAATATTTCAAATAGAAAATATAATGCTCAATATTCTATTTAGTATAACTATAATATAACAAATATTTTGCCTTTATATTTATTTAAATTATTGTTTTATAGTTTTACACTAGATATTTAAAAACAATTGATGGGGGCGTGTGCTTGGGCAGGATCAAAGTGGATCCGCAACTAATAGTTGGGCCCGAAAACAAGCGGAGAGGTGTTTTGTGGAGGGTTTACGGCGGGGTTGGGTTGGGGTGCAGGGGAGGGGGTAGGGTAGGGGGTTTAGGGGGTGTGTTAGGGGGGATAGGAACCGTCAATTTTACGAACAGAGCACCGGAAGTGCCCCAAAAACGCAGTGGCACCGGAGTGGCACCGTTCTCCGGTGTCACTAGAACCGGACCGATCATAATCTGACATTAGTTTTGATAATATGAGAGGAATTGTTGCGCAAAAATGAACAAATAAAAATATTAAATTGGTGTTATGTGACTACACATTTATTTTCTCCGTCCCAAAAAAGATGTTTTTGTTTCATTTTTTGTCCATCCTATAGAACACTTCTACCCACATCTAAAATACCTAAAATGTATCACATTTCTTCTTTATTGTGTGTAGAAATTGTTCTCAAAGTTTTTTTTGACATTTGGTCGGGATAGAATGTTTTAAGTGTTGCGAAAAAACGAAACAGGAACATCTTTTAGGGACGGAGGGAGCAATATACATCACTGTCCGCCATAAATCTTTTCAAATGTCATTTTTTCCCATGAAGATCTATCTATTACCTTTTTAACATTTAAAATACTAGAACTACCCACATATTTTTTTTATTTATTACACCTCACCCATCTTATTTAACAAACTCCATCCAATTTTATTAAAAATGTTTGGTGAATATAAAATTGATATGGGAGAAAAAAAGATTAGAAGTAAAAAAGCTCAAATTTTTAGACATAATTTTACTTTCGTAATTTGACTTTCCAATTATAACTTTAACGTTGAAGAAAAAAGAGAGATACGTTATTTAAATAACTTATGAGATGAATCTAAAATGAATGAAGTATAATGCAACCGACTTTATTTGAATATAATAGTACTTTTTTGCATTAGTGAAAATGTTTTGGTAAAACGAAAAAAATAAAAGAGGAACAATTTTCAAAAAGAGGAAACAAATAAAAGAGGAACAATTTTCAAAAACAGAGACCGCACTATCGTCACACTGCCAACTTTGATGCAATCGTACTATCATCGACCGCCGCCAGGCTATCAACTTTTCCATCACCCACTGCACCCGGACTACCAACTTTGTCACCACCATAAAATGACCGCACCACCGCCACCACAATACTAGTCAAATGAGAAAATTAAATTCGAATAAAAAAAATACTAATTTGCATGTATAGTTTGTGTGTGTTTTTTAACAAAAATAAAAAAATAATCTTTTTAAACCAAAAACATAACTTTATTATGGAAGCATGTCCTTAAAAGTAATTTTCAGTACAAACTATTTACGAACAACTAAGTTTGCTAAACATTTTTTTTCTTAACAACTAATACAAGCAGCCGATCAAAACAGCTAAATTAATCAAATATTCAAACCAGCCAACACAATCAGCTAACAACGAATCTCCAGACAAAGGCCATTATTATCTTACTCACATGGTGATTCAGTGCCTCTGTTTATAGAAAAAGAATGTATTTGAATATGAAATGAATTTGGCCCTGAAGGAGAAGATTTGCAGAATAGCTAGCACAAGATTTTGATGTAAAAAAGGAACAACCAGGTCTGTTTATTGTGCAGCTCTAAGAGGTAGTACTACATGCATTTATTAGAATTTGCAGACCCATCATCATACCATGAAATAACTTATTCCCAATATACAATAAAGAAACAAAGAAGAGAGTGATGATAATAAAGTTAGAATTGGCAAGGTTACATGTATAAGTGAAAACTAATTAAGCCTTTTTGCCAGTTTTGAATAAATTGTTCATTATATGGTTCTCAAAACCATCTTCTTCATGGGGCTCAACCATTGAATCTTCAACCAGTCCATCTCTGAATCCCTTCCAATCAGTATTCACATTAGAGAATATGGAGTCTAGTTATTGTTGGAAGAAACATTTAGGGGAAAACATGTCTCTTCGCCGCCGGTGTTCCACAGGAAATTAGCATACTGAGACGCGTAATAGGGATTCCGGATGTCTCCATCCACTGCAATGGCTTGTTGATAAAGATCTTCCGCTCCGGGCAGGTCCTTCCTGACCGTCCACAGGAAGTTCGCATACTGACTCAGCACCTCTGCGTCCTCCGGTTTCACTTGCATTGCCCTTTTGAAGCATTCCTCTGCCCTGCTCCATCACAACCATAATGGCATGACCACCAAGAACAAGAAGAAGAAGAAGAAATTAGTTCATAAATCAAGAAATCAAGTCACAAATAGCTAACAGAATACATGAATTCTTAGAGAAAACTATTGAGTTCTTAACCATTTTGCCCATGAGTTCTTAGAGAAAACAGGGCAAACAGAATACCAGTTCTTCCATTGA